GGCAGGGTGGGGGACACGTGGCTTGGGGACACACGTAGGGTGTGCTGTGCCATCGCTCAGATGCCATCTCCGTTGGCAGGGGGACAGGGATCTTTGAGGATGCAGCAATGGTGGCGAAGCAACAAGTGCTGCATGAGGAACTGGCCGAACTGGCTAGGACAGAGAGGATGCTGGACCAGCTCGTGCAGGACTGTGCCCTGCAGATCCAGCAGCTGGCTGACAATGAGTCCAACCAGAGATATCCTTGCTGAGGAAGATGGGAGGGAGGGCAGTGTCTTGGGCATCTCTCTGAGCCCCTTCTCCTCCAGCTGTATTCCCCTGGGCTTGGGGGGTGTTTGGAGGGATGCAATGGTTTTGTCCTGCTTGCAGCCCCTCCTTTTCCTATACCTCGTCTCTGTCCACGCTGGCATATGTCACCTACCAGGACCTCCGTGCCATCAGCAGCTTCCAGGAGCAGACGGTGATTGCCGTGAAGGCTCCCCCTGAGACGCAGCTGGAGGTGCCAGACTTCAGCCAGGTGTGTGCTGCTGGATCCGTGACACGCTTGATGGGTCCTTCTGGGGTATCCCAAGGACACAGCCTAGCATGACCCTGGGTGGTTTTGGGGTGTCTCCATGGGGCTGTTTGACTCTGAGCTGGTCCTTCAAGGGTTGCAATGCCCCAGTTGGATCCCTCATGGGTTGGGGCTAGTGGAGTTGGATATGGGTGACCTTCTGGGTGCCCCCCCTGAGCCTTATTCTGCCCTCCCAGGAGAACTTCCAGCTCTACTTGAAGAGCACCAACGGCCCCATCGAGGTGTACCTCTGCCCAGAGGAGATCATGGAGGAAAGCCCCACCAAGGACCACCCTGTACCCTCTGCTGTCACTTCCCCACAGGACCACTCTGTACCCCTTTGCCTGACAAACAGCTCCCCATCAGCCACACAGCCACTCCACCCCATCTCCCAGAGCTGGGGCAGCACAGGAACTCCTCTCTCACCCCCATCTCTGCCTCTCCCAATCCAGGGGGGACCCAGCTCACTGCTGGAGATGGAGTCTGGGCTCCTGGGCTCCCCTGCCCACCTTCTGCAGCAGACAGAGGATCAGCTGCCGTACACCCCCTCCCGCCTGGAGCTGGGACCCTTTGTTGCTTTCTCGCCCCCCCTGGAAGAGGATGACTATCTCTGGGGGCTTGAGGGCGAGGGTGTAACAGACCTCTTTGAGACATATGACCTGGGAGACCTGCTGAAGCACTGAGTGTCCTCCAGTCCCCATTGCCTTTGTTCCCTCCGGCCACTTGTGTCCTGAGCATGTGGAATCTGTGGGGTGACTGGAGAGATTGGGGTATGTTGGGGAGTACTGGGTTTTCTGAGGACTGGGTGGAGAGGGGCCTTGTGTTGCTCACCCAGTGTGGCTTCTCTGCACTTTCCTGGGTTGGTTGTCACCTCACTGGGCTCTGAGAGTGCCTTGTGATCCATCCAGGACCCTTTCCAGCATCCTCCAATAAATCCATGGGACACTGATTCCCACCATAACCTCCCACCACCCTGGGCATGCTGGTAGACTGGGAATGCCTTTGGGTGCCC